ATGTCCAAGGCCAGGGCTTTCACACCACTGATGCATGATTGAGAGTGTTCGATTGCAGTCTGAGTCAGGTCAGAGTCAGTCCATGGGTATCAACTCTTCCACTGTATTTGTACAACTCTGTATTATCTGGTCAGTTCTGGGAATCTGCGCCATACTTATGACTGTGTTTCACGAGTATGCAACAGTTTGGTATCGGAGCAGACCAGCATTGGATGACTCGCCATTAATTGATTGATTGATTGATTGATTATCCACACCTGTACTCTGTTATCATTAATTGTAAGTTGCAATTTTTTTTTTTTTTCTTCTGCTTACATAGTAATTAGGTCGTTTGAGTTCTAATTTTAGGTTTTGCAGTTTTTTTTTTCTCCGTACTGCACATAATTAAGGAAATCGCTAGTCACGATTAACCTAATTAGCGCTAAATAGGGTTAGCCCTAACCTAAGCTAACAACCTATCAAGCCTATGGGAAGTAAGTGCCAGCCAGGCACCGCGCCAATTAAGGCAGATCGGGCCTGAGCACGGCCACATTGAAACTGCAACTTCACGGAACTTTCACTTTTTGCAAAACGCATCTTTTATTGCGATTAAAGGTTGAATCGTTACAGCAAATTGTGTATCTTCTTACTATCATTGATCATCTACTTCATGACCTCGTAATGATGCTAAATCGCCCGATTAAATTTTGTGAAATTATTAAAATTATGTTTAAATGTTTAATCTTGTTGAAACTTTTTTCATTTTTAGTGGTGCAAATTTAAATATGCTTTAATTAAATATTTAACTTTCGCCAAATTAATCGTTGCAAATTTAAATATTCTTTAATGAAATATTTAATATTTTGCCAAAATTAAATTTTATTCAATTAACTCGTATTTTCCAATTAAAATTTATTTAATTGAATATTTAATTGAAAATTTCGTGGGGAGAATTTTTTTTTGATTAGTGTCAAGTTCGAGGTCAGGGAAGAAAGGGACTGTCTGTGCATTGTTTGCCTCCCTTCCCTTCTTCCCACCCCTACCTTCTCTCTCCTCCTCTCGGTACTGCGGACTTCAGTCTCCGGCCACGTCAGCATTGTGCCACATCAGCAGCGGGCCACAACCGCAGATTACCACATCAGCAGCGTGCCAGCTCAGCGTGCCACGATAGTCGATTGCCAAATCAGCAGCGGCCACCTCAGCAGTGCCACATCAGCAGGTGTCACCTCGGCAGTGACATGTTAGCAGCAGACGAAGACAGGACCTCGGCAGTGACATGTTAGCAGCAGACGAAGACAGGACTACTTGATGCGTCACAGTCAACGACTTGCTGAGCGGGGATCCACGGAAACCAAGCCCCAACAGGGACCTAAGACACCTCGGATCCCGCGCAGACGATGCATGACCATGGCCGCCACCGCTGACGCAAATTCACAAGCCAGCTCCGCGAGGCCGGCCACTCCCCCTATGCCAGCTCAGCAGGCAGATGAAACGGTACTGGCGTTTCTTAAACGTTTCCAGTTATACTCAGAGACTACTGCAGCTGAACGTTGGAAATGGGAACAGGAGGAAGCCGCTCGCCAGCAGGCAATCCAACGCCAGCTGGCAGAGGCCGAGGCAGCACGTCAGCAGGCCGGAGCAGAAACTGCAGCAGCCGCACGGTTTTTCAACAGCAGCAGGTCGAGGCGAGTCGGAATCAAGCTCGTAACCAGGCTGCAATGGAGCTCGCCAACGAAGAAGCCACGTACCGGAGGATACTTCGACAACAACACTTTCGAGCGAATGAAGAACAAGAGGAGCCAACCAAGGAAGAGAGAAGCAAGGAGGAAATAGCAGTACTAATGGAACACATGCTGTACACGTGCAATTGGTAGCAATGCGAGCTGCTGGCCATGCGGCAGACCTTCATCTGCCACGAAGCAACATTTCGGACGCAGGAATAGAAGATCACCGCCTTGTAGAATGCGAACAGTCAGCTGCAGACCACTGTCAGCATAGGGTTGGCGCAGTTGAGTCGACAGGCAGTGCAGTGGCAGACTGCAGCCCAACTTTGGCCACGCAGGCCAAGCAACTCGAGGAGCGGATCAACCACGTAGTCGCATCCCTTGGCGACATCAACACGATTGCTGGGACGTCTACGGTCAGCAATCAGCTGCAGACGCTCAGCGACCGCGTTCAACAACGAACGGCCTCCGTCGTCAAGGATTGGAAGATGTCGAACTTCAAGATTGAGAAGTTCGACGACTACCACAAGATTGATCCGTTGCAATGGTGGATGGCATTCAACGCGGAGGCAGATGTACATCACCCCCCACCACTACGGCGACTTGACGCACTCTACCTCCAACTTATCGGAGGGGCACAAGCTTTCATGACGCACATGGACGTCGCGTTGGAATGCACCATCGCCAACCTCCACACCAAGATCACGTGGGAGGAGTTCGAGAAGAAGTGGAAAACCCGGTTCATGGTCAACAACGACAAACATCACGCCTTGAACAAGATCTTCCACATATTCCAAGGCCAGCAAACATCACGGGAATGGCTGACGCAGTGGCAAAGACTCGTCGCCACCCCGGAGTTGACCTGCCATTCAACTCAATCCGGGCCGAGTTCTTTGCCCGGTCTTGCGACGCCTTGACAGCTGCTCTTGGTAGCGAATTCCAGTATGAGACCTTTGATGAAATGATCTCCAAGGCAAGGGAGCTCATACAAGGTAACCGGCGCGCGGCCAACGAGGCCCGCCAACAGCCCGGTTACGTGGAGGAATAGCAGCGATCTAGCAACGATCTATCGAGGACCACTCAGCCGCGTGTACATCAAGTGACGGAGATGTGGCGACAGTGATACCACCGCAACACTCAAGACCTTGAGGGGGAAAACCTAAGGCGAAAGCAGCGTCGACGGATGGAGCACGACAATCACCATGGACGAAGTTCGGTATTACCGAAGACATGTTCAAGTTGGGGCAGAAATGGGGATGCTGTTTATGGTGCAACAACACCAAACACATCACTAGCACATGCCTCGACAAAGACAAGGAAATCGTCAAGCGTCCAAGCTCGGGAAACTGAGCACCGCGGGAAGTGAAGCGACATCACTCCCCAATCCGTCGGACTCGGCTGCCTTGCTAGCAGTCTCTCTCACGTCTGGGGATGACGCGGTAGTCGCAAGTTCTCGGATTGACTTCGAGAACTATGCTGTCGAGCTGGTCCCGCCGTTGAACCAACCTCTCCACGTGCAAGATTCAAGCGCATGCGCGGTGTTACCGCCGTCGGACAACGAACCGATTGCTTCGCCAACCCTTCTATCGGAGGATCTGTCAACTTGGGCGAGTCTCGAGGAACTCGACCCGTTGACGATTGAGGACTTGCCGCTTCCCTCCACCGGTTCTTTGCCAACACCGCATTGCAACGCCTTGATGGCACATTTGCGCGAATACTTGCACGTTGCAGTACCACCTCCGTCGACGGACGGCGGAGTCTTCGTAACTATCTTGCGAAGATCGATCGCGAGCACGCAACGCAATGGTACGTTGACATCGATGCGCCGCTCTATATCCGCATTCAGATCGGAAAGGCGACCTGCAGTGCCTTGATCGATTGTGGAGCGTCTCGCAATTACATCAGCCAAGACTTCAAGGCACGCGCCGGGCTAGGCCTGCGAGTTCGAAGGAAAAGTCAGCCTACGCACGTCACGTTGGCCGATGGTCACACGCAGAAGTCAATTGACCATTGCGTTGACTCCGTGCCCGTGTACTTTGCCCCACTAGGATGCGACACCGTGTCACTCGACATATTGGACACTAAGTTTGACATGATCTTAGGCATGTCATGGCTGCAAAGAGAAGACCATCCGGTGAACTTCTATCGACGCACCGTTCACGTTCGTGATTGGCGTGGCGAACTAGTCCCGTGTATGGTGCTGCTTCCTCATCCTTCGATTGGTTGTCACGTGGTCTCCGTGGCGAGCATTCGCCAATCCATCTGGTGGAACGACATCGAGGAGATGGGCATGTGTTTTCTTCACGCCCTCCCCGGTAAATCTTCCCAAGACGGACACATTGGACCCACGCATCATTGAGCTTTTGGACAGCTATGAGGATGTCTTCCAAGCTCCCGCCGGAGTCGTACGGGATCGGCCCATACACCACAGGATCACTCTAAAGGACGGCGCCGTACCTTCGCGCGGATGTATTTACCGTATGAGCGGAGAGGATCTTCAAGTGCTTCGGGCACAACTAGACGAAGGGCTGGATTCGCCCTAGCTGTTCGCCATATGGTGCTCCCGTTCTCGTCGTCCGGAAGAAGAACAAGGACCTTCGTTTGTGTATCGACTACGCACAAACGATCAAGAATGCCGACCCTCTCCCTCGGGTCGATGATCTTCTCGAGCGACTAGGCGGCGCTAAGTACTTCTTGAAGCTTGACCGCAAATCCGGATATCACCAGATCGAGATCCAGCCAAGAGATCGGTACAAAACCGCATTCAAAACGCAATATCGGCACTTTGAGTGGATCGTCATGCCTTTCGGTCTTACCAATGCCCCGACTACTTTCCAAGCGGCTATGACGACGGAATTCCACGACCTGCTCGACTGCACCGTAATCATTTACCTTGATGACATCTTGGTTTATAGCCGGTCGCTGGACGAGCACCTTCGCGCTGTTTTGGAGCGGCTCTGTATCGCGAAGTACAAGGCGAACCGCGACAAGTGCGAGTTTGCCCAGCAAGAGCTGGAGTGTTTGGGCCATTACGTTACGCCGCAAGGCATTCATCCGCTTGCGGACAAAGTACAAGTCGTTCAAGATTGGTCGGACCTCGCGTGTACCACCCACGATCGCTCCTTTCTCGGCTTAGCATCATATTACATGCGCTTCGTCAAAGGTTTCCAAAGGATCGCTGCACCATTGTCGCGACTTCTGTCCCCCTTGGTGCCCTTCGAGTTCAATGATGAAGCCCGCCCCGCGTTCCACACGCTGAAGACGACTTTGCTCCAAGCTCCCGTCTTGAGCATCTACGACCCGACCTTGCCTACCAAAGTGACTACGGACGCTTCCGGCTACGACATTGGCGTGGTTTTTGAATAACATGACGACACGGACTGGCATCCGGTTGAGTACTTCAGCCAAAAGGTGCCGCCCATCAGTTCACTTGATGATGCGAAGAAGGAACTGCTAGCTTTTGTCACTGTACTTGAGCGTTGGCGTCACTTTCTCCTCGGGCGTCGGCAATTCACGTGGGCAACAGACAACAATCCGTTGACTTATTACAAAATGCAAGACACGGTGAGCAGCACGATCGGTCGTTGGATGTACTTCATTGACCAGTTCGACTTCATCTCCAAGCATATTCCGGGCCCCTCGAACAAGGCAGCGGATGCTCTCTCGCGAAAACCTGATCTTTGCGCCTTGGTGCACTCCACATTTGGCCTCGACGAGGACCTGCAACAACATTTCGTAAACGGCTACAGGTCGGATCCAGGATTCTCCACACTCTACGAGGACTTCTCATCGGATCACCCGCCGACAACCAATTATCGCATTGTCGATGGCTACTTGCTTCTCCATACACGAGGCAAGGACTTGTTGTGTGTTCCCCAAGACCGTTTGTTGCGCACTCGCCCCCTTGGCGAATACCACGATTCGCGGCTGGCGGGACACCTTGGCGTCGCACGCACACTTGCACGACTCCGCCAGGGATTTCTTTGGCTGGACATCATCAGCGACGTCAACTGGTACATTCAGTCATGTGCAGTTTGCCACCGGAACAAAGGGCGCCATCATCTCCCGTACGACGAAGGGAATCCATTGTCGATTCCTTGGGAACCAGTTCTTTCCATTGCTATGGATGTGACCGGTCCTTTCCCTCGTGATTGCCTTGGCCATGATGGTATTCTCACGGTCGTTGACCGTTTGAGCAAGTACGCTCAATTTCTTCCATGCAAATATCATGCGATGGCTCCCGAGCTCGCACGACTCTTGCACACCGGCTGGTTTTGCAGCCACGACATTCTGGAAGACATTGTCAGCGTCCGCGATACTCGTTTATGTCAGCCTTTTGGACGACACTCATGGTGTCAGCCTTTTGGACGACACTCATGGTGGAATCCGGCACCGGCATGACACCGAGTTCCGCATGACATCCTCAAACGGATGGGCAAACGGAACGTGTGCACCAGACTGCGCAGATGATGCTCCGCACACTCATCCGTCCGAATCAGAAGGACTGGGTTGACCGCCTCCCTGACATTGAGTTCGCCAACAACACTTCGGGGCACCCGATGATCGTCGTGACTCCCTTTGAGTTGCATCACGGTGGACGGGAATACCGTATCTTTGCAGACATTTTGCTTCCACGGGCTGCCGATATCGACGCCGCTTGCCCCCCCCCTTCTACATGGAAGTACATGGAACTGCTGGCCAAAGCCTGCGCAAATATGCAAAAGGCTCAGGTCCGTATGTAGCAGCAAGCGAATCGGCGTGGCATCCCATGTCCAGTCCGCGCCGGCGACCTTGTTTGGGTCACCTTCGAGGAATTTGTGCTCGAGCAGCACGTCTCGCGCAAGCTCATCCCTAAGTGGTTTGGTCCATGGAAGGTCAATTCAGCAGCTGGCCACGACCCCGCGGGTCCCTCTTTCATAATCGAGATTCCCGCGCATTTGACGGTCCACCCAGTATTTCACGCTTCAAAGCTGGCGGTCTATACTCCAGCCTCAGCAGCGGATTTCTCGGGCAGACGGTCACCAGCCCTCCATCAACAGATGGTCCCCAGGAGGTCGACCGCGTCCTCGCTCATCACAAGCACGACAACAAGCCAATGTAGTACAAAGTTACATTTAAGCAATGCAATCCCGACGACACACGCTGGATTTCACGAGCTGACCTGAAGGCAACAACACCCCTCATCTTCGCGCATTACAAAAAACAGCGACTTGCTAAGGAAGCTGCCCAACCCGCCCGCCCCGTACGGACATCGGACAGACAGCTTTGCCCTCGCAGTTAGTTCGGTCTTCAAGAGGGGGAGTGTGTGGCATACTGATACCACACGGGCCCCTGTTAGGGCCCAATTCTGTAATAGGCACGGTTTAGGCCTCGGTACCGGGTCACGACGGTCCCAGCTAGGTCCAGGTAGGCCTAGGAACCGTCGGCTCAGTTTAGGGTCTGGTAGGCCTTGTTTAGACCCCAACAGACCCAATGGCTAGTTGTTTAGGCCAGGTACCGGTCCATCGGTAGGCCCAGCCGTCGGCGCAGTTTTAGGTGCCACTTTTCAGATTCAATCGGATCTGAACTGTTGGGCCCGATCAACGGTCCAGACCCGAAGGCACTCAGTAGGACTGAGGCCGACCCAACACTATATCAGCTGGGTACCAGCCTCAGTCGGTAGGTTAGTAGAGACAGGAGGTTGGTCTACGCGTTAGTCTTCAGGATTAGCGCATCGCTTCAGCGTTAGCAGGATTAGAGCAGCATGGCAGCGTTAGCATGAGCAGCGAGGAGAGAGCGAGCACAGCGGCGAGAAGGAATCAGCGCAGCAGTCGGAACAGTGCCAGCCACCGGCCCAGCCCGCGGCCCAGCGCCAGCCTTCTGCAGCGCCATAGCTACCGGATCAGGTACCAGGGAGAAAGGCCTTGCCTTCTCTCCCTCTGCTTCCTCCGCCACT